GGGTGCGTATCTTAGCTACAACAAGATAGTGGTCAATGTTTGGCCCTCAGAGCNTTGAAGCATGCCTTCCGTCTATCACAACATGATCGATTTGGTTTCTCGTTCTTCGATCTGGAGACAGCCATGTAGCTTGGTGGATGTTCGTATGTTGGAACCTAGTACTACATATTACCATGCTTCGGGCCCCAGCGAAATCGATCAGCCTCAATCGGTTATCAGACATTTCGTCGTGGAGGCTGAATTTTACGACAGTGGCGCCAAATATCCCTTCCTTGCCCACCTTGGCATTAAAATCGCCGAGCACGATTTTAACATCGTGTCGCGGGCAGCGCTAATATGTACGCTCTAAGCGCTCATAGAAGGGATCCTTGGACGCCTCGTCCTTCTCTTCTGTCGGGGCATGGGCGCAGATGAACGAGATGTTGAAGAATCGCGCTTTGATGCAGATTGTGGCTAGACATTCGTCCACCAGGGTGAACGCCATTACTCGGCGACGTAGTCTCTCTCCTACCACGAATCCAACACCGAATTTGCGCTCCTTTACGTGGCAGCTGTAGTAGACGTCACAAGGCTTCACACTTACTTCTGCTTGCTCCGTTCGCGAGGACACCAACCAGCCCGGCAGAGGCACCTTCCCCATTAAGGGTCCGGAAATTCCAGCTGCATACCCTTAAATCATAGTTATTTATACGTTTGCCGTGGCCGTCATCAAAAGCCTCATCCGAGGCTGTTTGTTCTTTTTAATTGGGCGGCGTTTAAACGTGGCCAAACCCAGCGTACGCGAAGTTTTACGCCTTCTCACTTTCAAATGGATGTTTGGTTGCTACCAAGAGGATACGTGGATATAAATATCCGGACGTTGTGAGCTGCCATTTGAACCGTACGCACAAGAATCACTTCTGGCCACTCCCAGGTGAATAGCAGTCAAAAGTATTCCACTTATACGCACGGAACCATCCTCCTATCCATCAGTATGGCTTTAGACCTGATAAATCCAGGTATTCTCCAAATCTTGAAAAAGGCCCGCGAGAAGAAGATTCACACTTACAATCTGTTTGTCGACATTAAAGCCGATTTCGATAGTACGAAAAGGAGTTTCCTATACTCGCGATGTCTGAATTTGGTATCTCCGCGAAACTAATACCGTCATAAAATGAAACATGATGAAAATATCCGACTACTTTTGAAGTAGAAGTTGTTTTCAACGGATTATCTTCACTCTCAGATTTCGACCAAGCACAATAGCGTACATAGTATCCGGGTGCATTTCTGAACACACCCTATGTCTGCATCTTTTACCAATGCAGGAAATTGGTCGATTAGCAGCAAAATTGATACATCAGTATCAGAAAGAACTTTACGTGGTGTAATAATTTCAAGATGTTTAAACTCTTTTCGATTGAAATCGAATATTATTTTCATGTGCTAAATGCAATGATTAAAGTTTGGCTACCTTTCCATATTTTTTCCAGCCAGTTTAATATCGGTCACCGAGTAATTGAAATTAGCCAGAAACCGCGATATATTTTGAAGCGTGCTTTGACAGATGATTAGCCATGCCATTTTTGAAGACCAGTGGCAAGGCGAGTTCACACTTTTAGCAGGTGTTGCCAATCGGCCCTATGCTGAATATTGTCATCAACCTCGTCGACGATCGTCAGCGCATCAGTAACATGGCTGCCGATGGCTGTATCGCACTTTTACTGGCGATATTCAACATAGGGCGGAATGGACCATTTTAAAAAGAATTGCACCAATGGACCAACGAAAAGAAATGGACCAAATTTGGTTCATTTGGACCAAAACGGCAACCGTGGTTGCTTGGTGTAAATGGCCTTTCAACTAATCCCTTTCAATGAAGTTGTTCAGCTGCCTACTTTAGTTCAACTTTTGATTCAACTAATCGCCTGCGAAAGTTGAATCACGTAAATTTCCTAAGCAGAAGAGCACCTGGGCGTATGAGCAATACGAGGCATCCATACCATGTGCTACATATGTATGTACATTAGACTGCATCACTCCCCATACAAAAAAACGGTACTGTGTTTCCATTGGTATTATAAAATCTATTATATTTTAAGACGTCCACCAAAATATTTCGGAAAAATATTAAGATTTACGTGAGATGGACCGATTTGAAAATACCTCCAAAAACGGAGTTTTTATGAATAAAAATAGTTTCTTAGAGATTTTTTTTTTTAAATCCTCTCAAATGACAGAAAATAAAAAAAAATCAACGGAATCGTAATAATGAAATTTTTGATGCTGTTTTTTAACTTTTTCAAAGATTGTATAAGAAAAACTTGAATAACTGAACCCAAACTATTCCGGCTATTATCAGTGAAAAGGTATTTTCTCACCCTTTTTATTTCTTTGCTAAAAGGTAGGATGAACGAGCGTTATTCCAAGTTAAATTGAGATGTGTTGGTATTTGAAAAAAAAAAAATTGGGACAAGAATTATTTTTTTTTTGCACAGAAATAAAAAGAGTGGAAAACTACTCTTCTACACAGACCCCATACATCTAAATCAGAATAGTTTTGGCCAGTTACTCAATCTATGAAATAAATTAAAAAACAGCATCAAAAATCTCATTATTACGATTCTGTTGAAAAGATTTATAAATACTTGTATGCAGATTTTTTAAGCTTAAAGCTTAAACAGACGGAAGCGTTGATCCAGATTAACTCGGACTTAATCCGGATCAACTGCAGTTAATTCCCGAGTTGATCCGGATAAACGCTGCCGTCTGTTTATGCTTTTAGTCTGTCTTGTCATATGAGGGGAGTTTTTTTTTCAAAAAGTTCTTTAAGAGACTATTTTTATTCATAAAAACTCCGTTTTGGGAGGTATTTTCAAATCGGGCCAGCTCACGTAAACCTTAATATTGTTCCGAAATATTTTCGTGGACGTCTTCAAATATAAAAAGTTTTGTAATCCCGGCGTAAAAACCGCAACTTTGTTTGGTGATGCAGTCTAATGTACCAAATACATTCATATATACATACATACTTCCATGTCTGTGGCATTTTTGGTAAAATAATTTATCCCGAGTAGGGCCACTTCAAAGCAATATTTCATTGTCTTCCAAGACAATGTTTTAACGATTAATTACCCAGTATGGAAAGAAATTAGTTTAAATATGATTTCAAGTTGAAATTTTCAACTACTGTAAAACGCATTTGGCTTAAAGCAATGCAAAGTCACTATGTTTCTTTTACATGCTAAAATAGTTAATTGCCCACAGTTAGACGATTTTACAACTAATATTTAACTATATGCAAAGATTTGTATCAAAAGTGTAAGCATTTGGTTTATCTCAATGAGGCTGCTAGGTGAATATACATACATCAATTTGAAGTTAGTTGCTGCATAAGTAGTAATAAACTAATTTTTATTGAGGTAATTGGTTGAGCTACGCCGTACTGAGTAGCCCTAGACGTAGGTTGAGATGCTCTTTTAATAAAAGCTTCATTAAAAGGTAAACTTTCTGAAGGGGAAATTTTGCTTTTCCAATCCAAATTAAAACCTTCTAAAGGATCTTAAGTTGCTTTATCAAAACGCCACAGATACGTAAATATGTACATCAGGCCTATTTCGTAAAAGTGACAAGTGTGACAATTGCCGATTTTTCTAGAAAATTTCACAGCCAGAATTGTCGGCGACATTTTTTCTCTTTCATCGAGCGCATATAAAAACTGTGAAACTTTTTGGAAAGCGGCAGAGACAATACTGGAATATTATCGACAATGGTGATGTGACTCTGACAAAATTGTTGCGACAATAGCGACAAAACTAAATAGCTCCGTCTGGATGTTTTCACAGGAGAATTTTGTAAATTTATTTATATGGTAATTGCGCGAATTTTTCTATTTTTCAATAATTTAAATATTTCTTATAACTAAAATAATGTATTTGCAATTATTATATATGAAGTACATATAAATTTCATCTGACTGGCGACAAAGACAATTTGTCACTTTTTCAATGAATTTTCTCATGGAATTGAAGTGGTGGTGACAATTGTTTTGATTAAACAAAACACCCACCAAGCTGTCGAATTGTCACTGAGAATACGGAAAATGCCTGTTGTTACAAAATTATCCTGTCACTTTATGAAATAGGCCCCAAACTGGTAAAAAAAATCTTTTTTTTTTCAAAACCACCTGCAAAATATTTTCGGGACAATGAAATGGACGCCTGTCAAAAGCTAAAACATTAATATTCAGATATACAGATCGTTTTTTAACCCACACTCGAAAAAAAGATGGAATGATTACCATTTTATTCAAAAAAATAGTTTTTAGCGACATACATATTTTATAAACGTGGTAGCATTTCGTAACCTGATCCCCGGCATTGGCATTCAATGCACCACAAACTACAACCACTGTTCATAATAAATGTACATACATAGTTGTCAATCTTCTTTTTTTTATTTGTATAATGTACGCACATACATACATATGTAAATATGTATCATGTATATGTAGTTTTAAAGTCTTTTGAACTCACTAATAATATATTTAGAAAAATTTTTTATAACTATGCAGTTTTCTAGCCCATTCAATTTTAATATAGTAAATTGCAAGTTTAAAGTGGCAGGTTTTTGTTGATAGTGTCATGCATTTTCTTCTATACAAATTATCTACGCTCGACAAACTTTCTATATGGAAGAAACAGCGCAATTCGAAAGTTTTCTAAAAATATTATTAACTTATTCACTGCAGGATAGCGCACCCCTTTGTTGGCATTTGTTTTTTTTAGAATTTTAAATCAGATTTCACGTTTTCGTTTTAGAATATGCTAGTCTTGTGTATAAAATTTATGCATATTAAACAAAAAAAAAGAGAACTGTACATACTCAGGATCAAAAGGATGCGCTATTCAAATGACTAGCAGTGTATGCTTACCGAAACTTGTAGATTATTTAACGTTATAATATTCTTTAATTTTTCAACGTAAATGGTTATTTCATTCCTTATTTTGATGCTTTTTTAGGGTCGAACGTTTGCTTCAATTATCAAGAACTTCTTGCAGCTTTGTAATCCCTTGAATGAGTCATATTTGCCATTATACAATAAAGATGAAGGAAGTAAGTACCTATTTGGAAAAATTTTGCCAATATAACACAGTTTAGCATATTCATAGACGAAATAAATTCGATTCTAAAGCTTCAAATATTACATTAAAAATTATGTCGAAAAACTGCAATTAACTTTAGTGCCGACTTTATTTTGAAGATGAACACGCCGCAGTATTTTGAAGAGCGCGTAAATATTAAAGTAGAAAAACTTGAGTGACTATTTGATTTTTTCGCGCTCTGAAGAAAAGATTATCATTAAATATTGTAAATATCGTAAATACTTTTTGCAGGAAAAGTATACAATGAAACGTTAGAGAGCGTGAAACAATCCTTTCCACAGTACATCAGAGAATTGGAAGGCATCGCTGATGGTGCTCAAGTTGAATTTCATAAAGTAAGTAATACACTTAATACCAACTGTTTATTTCATATTAAGATAATAACAAATAGAATATTTTTTGATTTGTGCTTTAAAACTAAAAAAAAAAAATTAATGCTTAATACATGTTAGTCGATTCGACTAATAATTAGTGTTTATGTATTAAAAATATGATTAACCTCAATAAAATGGCGAATGTTATGTGGCATGCACGTTTTTTGAGGTTAGGAAAAAATCCTGACGTGATAACGGAAAGTGGACTTCAGATTCGTGCTCAGCGCTTCAAAATGCATAGTGTGTCCCCGAACCCTGACATTATTTTTTTGTGTGACTACAGAACAACTTTACACAGCCCCACACACCAAAAAAGATGTCGGAGTTCGGGTATTAGACTATCCTTTCCATGTGCATTTTTATGCGCTGAGCACGAATCAGATTTATAAAAAATCGAGGTATCGTGGATAAAGCGCAGTAAATTTAAATTTCCCTAAAATATTTTCGTAAATTTAGTACGATCGTAGTGAAGCTCTAACACTGACAACACCACTCTGTGATCGATCAAACAAACTTATGTTTAAGATACCTTTTCTGTTCAAAAATGTCAACAGCTAACATGGGAAAATTCCTCTGTATAGAAAATCGTGTTGATTTTTTCAGAGTGCAACAAAAATCCATTTGCATGGAAATTTGCTCCCTGCGTACGATCATATAACTAATAAACCCTGCGCACTTTTCCCGCATAGTCTAGATATGGTAAGCTACCATATGTGACCTGGTCTACGGATAGGGGGCTTAGGTGTCAAAAAATCAATTTTCACTTTTTGGTTGATTCGGATGGAAGATGAGATGCTTTTTCACGTGGTGAAAAGCAGAAAATCCTAACTTGCTTAGAAGTGTACTAAAAATGTAGAGAAAGAAGAGTAAAAATACGACAAAATATATACGAGTTTTAAATGTTCCACACTAGCAACTTACACGATGAACTATAATAATATTCCGACCAACAACAACACTTACTGGACCAACAACAACACTTACTGGACCAACAACAACACTTACTGGACGTCCGGCGCGGAGAACAATTAACGAGATAATGAGAAACTGACGAAACGAGTTGCTTACTTTTAACAGCTTTTTCACAGAAAACTAGTTTTCGCACGTAAGCTCCCTTTTCGTAGACCAGGTCACATATAGCTAGCTTATAGTGAAAAGTTGCTCAATCTACTTTTAATGAAAACTCATATTTTGATACAGGAGGCTAGAGAAATTAAAAAATCATCGCTTCGAAAAGGATAAAGTTCCTTGTTTTAAGCTTTCTCGTTTACATTGAATGAAAGCAAAATTTGCTAAGTCCAAAAAAAGCTACGAAAATTCGACAAGGCCAAAATAGTCCGCAGCCTTTTAATAAAGATCGAATCCCTTTGAGTTTTGTTTTGCTTTAAACAGGAAAAATGTCGAAAACAAAGTTTTGCGAAATAATTGAAGAATATGGCTTTATAAGTTTTTTCCTCTCCTGTACAATTTTTAAACTGGGACTTAGCAACATTTCACTCTAAGGTAGAGATATGTGTCTAAAAGCTTAAAACCTACCCTAAAAGCTTAAAACGACCTTATTAAGCTGGCATTTCAGGGTACTAATTTATATACAGTATCGGTCATATCTATATCACGCCATTTCAAAGTGATATTGTGTGCCACTTTTGTTTATTTATTTATTTTTAAGAATTTTCAATTAAAATACAGTTCTTTCTCTAACAAACCCCATATAAACCCAAGTTTAACAATTTGTAGAAAACTTCAAAAGAGTGCAACAAATTTTCACCTAAGTTTCAAACTTTTTTCTCGGAAGNTTTTTTAGAATTTTTTTTGTCGCATTGGCTTTCATATAATGAATAAACTCAATTTATTTGTATATGGATGAAAACCGCAACACCTTTGGCGAAAAAAATTCTAAAAAATCAACGGTAACTTTCAGTCACATGGAACTTGCACATTATCAGACGAAAATTGATTGGGCTAAAAAACTGTGTACTCGAAAAAATTCTAACACTTCCGAGAAAAAAGTTTGAAACTTAGGTGAAAGTTTGTTGCACTTTTTTGAAGTTTTCTACAAATTGTTAAACTTGGGTTTATATGGGGTTTGTTAGAGAAGGAACTGTATTTTAATTGAAAATTCTCAAAAATAAACAAATAAACATAAGTTGCACACAATATCACTTTGAAATGGCGTGCTATAGATATGACCGATACTGTATATATAAGGAAAATTTGAAAGTTAGGGGAGGCTCGAGCACCCCCTGCCCTACCCATGAATACCAGATTTGCGGAACACAGTTAATATGGAATCGCAGACATAATGGAAACAAAATGCACAACATCTTTTCATCCTCAGAGAACTAAACCAAAGTCAACCCAACGTTAGTATACTGAGAAATTAAATAATCCATATCGTGTTGGTTTTATACTAAACAAAACTTATGTGCTTCAAAGGAAATTTTGATTATTTGAATAGCTTTTCTTCCTGCACTTCATAGTTCGGTATTGTTATTATTATTTAAATATATTGCATATGAAGGTATACGAACGTGGGACCGTCCGTCCATCCTTCTGAGCGCATGATAACTCGAGGACATCTTAACGATAAGTGGTACGTGTACTTCTTTTGAGCGTAGAAGGGGTGGTATTGAAAATGGGCAAAATCGGACGATAACCACGCCCACCTCTTATTTAACGGTAGTTGGCGGAAATACAGAAACTGGCATCTTTAGCCAAAAAATAAGAAAGTGGGCGTAGCTCCGCCCACTTATGATTACATGCGTATATCTCGGTACTTACTGATCTCGGCTTTACTGATTTCTTCTAAACTTGGCACAGTTGTTGGTCCTGGTAAAACATATAAAACGATTGAAATTTTTTAACATCGGAAAATAACCACGCCTACATCCCATATAACGGTAATTTAGATGAATACGTAAATACTGAAGCGAATTTTTTTTAATTGATATTTGCCTTAAAACTTTAGCAGGAAATAGGTTTTTAAAAAATGTTTGGAAAATGGGCGTGACACCGCCCACTTATGACCACATATGTGTATCTCAGTAACCGTTAAATTTATTTGTACCAAACTCGGTAAAATTATTGTACTTGACACGCAAAAGCATTACGTTGAAAATTGATTAATTGATTAAAGGGGGTAGTTTTCGGAAAAGCGAAAAAACTATATTTAATACGTGTGTCGGGTATTTAATGTTCGGCTTCGCTCGAACCTAGACGTTTTTACTTGTTATTTTAACAACATATTCGAAGTGGCTGTACTTAGGGCTGCATTAGTCCTTTGGGAATAAAGCCAAAGCGAACAAATATCGATGGTTGGGACTCCCAGGTTGTTAGAATTATGGAGTGATCTGTGCAAAATACAGATATGATGCCGATTGAACACTTATGGAGTTGTGTGAAAAGGTAGGCTACGGACCAGGTGCGAATATTCGTATGAATATTGGAAGGAATTTCATGTTCCATATTATTGCTTATTTTTTTTTTTGCTAATCAGTGTATGTAAGCACAGTATATGTAATACATATATGTGAGTACATTGTACATATATAAATACCTATCTGCTTGTCTGCCTTTGATGGAAAAAAAAACAAATTTCAAACAATCAACACTGTACTGTCGACATTTTTTCTTAGATTCTGCCATATTTTGTGTCAGTTACCTATACCTACCTGTATAGAAAAAATGTTTTTTTTTGTAATCACAAAGTGATTTTAACAGGATATGGCTATTTTAACAGAGGGCTAATTAACTGTTGCAAAGAAAAAACCAAAATGTCGGCGGTAAAACTGATTTTAATTAATAAAGCCAATAAGCCGCTGAGAGGATTTCACAAAACGGCTGAAACTATTTTAATATAATATACAAAATTTTTTTTATTTATTATATTTTGATTACTTTCTGTAAATTCGAGAGAAAATACTCTTAAAGAATATTTTGATATCAAAACTCTGCTGTTTTAATGATTTATTTATTACTTTGATGTACGTTACGAGTGGTACATAAAGACACGTACAATTTATGAAAATATTTTGTATCATTTAGCATTAGCAACTGAAATAAATACAAACATGTGGGTCATTCATTTGTCTCTCCTTTAGTGAATCACCACACTCGGATAAACACGTATGTATGTACCTGCTACACGCAAGCATAAAAATTCTAGTATTATTACATAAGAAAATAAAAGTATGTAGTTATAACAAATAGGCAGGTACTTACTTTCTCCGGCACTGGCAAACACACATCGATTCGATCACATTTTTCTTTACAAAAGTTCCGGAAACAAGTCTGTCCTTGACATTCGTATTTATATTGGAGAAGAATCAAACAAGTTCATGCAAGCACAGAACAAGTCATATCCAATACCTAGGCACGTATGAAAAGCGTTGCTGGAGACCGAGCGGCGCTTTGCAAGTCTCGACACGCGTTGCACTGAATTTCGGNCATTTGCAGAAAAAAAATTATAACTCGAAAACGACGAATTTTAGCATATTGCTACTCGTACTGAAAATAGTTTATACTATTCCCTAATACACAAAAAAGTTTTAGAGAAAAAAAAGATGTGGCAATTTGAAAAAAATTAATTTGAAAAAAAATTGTTTGTTTATAAACAATATTTAATTATTAATAAACAATTACTGATGTTTAGTTCACTAGATCGATTCAGTAGATCAATATCTGCAATTTAAAAAATATATAAGTTTTTACAAGTAACAGTCGCTGACCTTCTTAAAACCGATTTTGTAAAGCCACCCGAATACACTCTCGCTCTGAGGAGTTATATTTTTTAAGAGCACTCCAATTTCAAAAACTCAGATCGCTGGCGTTATTTATATTCTCTTCACTATAAACTCCTCACATATTTGGATCTCTCATGAATTTACATTGGAAGTATTTCTAAAACAGTTTTGGGCGAATTTCAAAACGTCAAAATACAAAACATCAGTCTCTTTAATATC